ACATATAGTGGAGGTGACTCTACTGTATGCAGCAGTATTTACAATAATTTATTCTAGGTTTTTAGTAAGTCTTGCTGGAAACTAGGGTCAAGTTCATATATAAACTTGAGACTAGGCATCTGTGTCTTAGCTATAAGAATTGCAAAGATGACTACTAACCTTCAAACCCAAATTTCATCCTTGGAAAACTGGCTACTTTTTCAAGATTAACTAAGTAATCATTTTAAACACCAAATAAATACATAAATAAATAGACAGACAGAACATTCTATAACGGGTCTTGCTATCCATACATCCATCTCTATCACCTCTCTTCCCCCCTCCCTCCGTCCACCACGCATTGAGTTCCTACTATGTTTAGCACCGTTTTACATGCGGAACATGAGACAGGCAGGAGAGAGGAGGGCACAGTTAGAAGAAATAAGAGGTTCAGGGCTGGAAGAAGGAGAAGGGTTAGAGGACCTGATAGAGCCAGGCAGAAACAGAATTCGCATCCACTTTGTCCAACCCAGAATGAAGCAGCACCAACCTTAATCCCTATATAGTTAATTCACTCAGGAGTCAACGGAGAGGTAAGGTTTTAGAAGGAGGGGGTGGGGAGNTCCACTTTGTCCAACCCAGAATGAAGCAGCACCAACCTTAATCCCTATATGGTTAATTCACTCAGGAGTCAACGGAGAGGTGAGGTTTTAGAAGGAGGGGGTGGGGAGAAAAATTCCTGAATTGTTATTTTTTTCTTAGGTCGTATTTAGACTGGGGTATTTAAGCTAGGCTCCCCCCCCCCAAGTCGATAAGGTTTTTGTTTGTTTTTTTCAGGTTGAGGAATGAGAATTGAAAGGTAGATAGGAGCTTTCAAAACTATAAATAACACTCCCCCCACAATATATCTTTTTAAATAGCTCAAAGCTCATTGATATGAACAAGAGTTAAGTTCCTACGGCATCTCATCAACATTATAATGAAGCAAAGTTACACAAAGTGATGTTATTTGAGGACCCGCTACATGTGCTTTTCTTCCCCTTAAGTTGCAGGGTTTCTAGGCTGTCCTTACACAATGCCCTGCACCGCTTCTTTGCCTTTACCTGTGCACAACGACAGAGGCTTCGGGGGTCCAGGAAAGAAAAGATGTATAAGGATAACACCCTTGGAAGCTTCGTAGTAAAATCCAGAGCTTCTGCTGGAAGCTTTTCCTGAAGCTTTCGACAGCAGAACTTTTGCTGTGACAGGGAGCAGCGTTCTAACAGGCCAGCCAGGATTCTTCTCCTTTGGGAGTCTGTCCATTTGTCAAACTGGGGGGGGAGG